CCAGGATGTGCAAATGGGCTCTGGGTCTCACCTCTGGGCAGCCTGTGGGGCAGCGCTGTTTCCCCTCACTGCGCAAATGGCCACGTGTGGCTTGATGCCGGTCGGGAACGCACCTGGGGCCACCCTACCTGCGAGGGGCACAGTTCGGCCGCACGGAGGCACTGTCCCCAGCCCTACCTTCCTCTGCCTGTGACCAGCTGGGAGATGCTTTGCCCAGGATGCAGTGGGCACCAGGACTCGGGCTGGCTGCAGTTGGCAAGGTGGTGGGAGGGCGTTGCAGCCACAGGTGCTGGGGCGGCAGGTGCCAGGCTCCACAGCGCCGCACGCTGCCTCCTGCTGGACTCCAGGAGCGGCAGGCTTGCTGAGGGCCTCTCTGCAGCCTGGAACAGGATGATGGGCCTGTGCTCCCACTTTGTTTCTCACCGTGTGAGAGAGGGAGGTGTTCTGGCTAGAATTAGAAAACAAATCCCCAAGACAAGGAAGTGCTCAGCTGGGAGCCTGCCAAGCCTGTGGGGTTGGAGGCGGGCACAGGGTGCAGGGTGCAGGCTGTCCTGGTGCTGGAGGGGACCGAGTCCCGGGACTTGGTGTCAACCCCTGTCCTCTGTAGGCGAGCAGAGGCCCGTTGGGACACATGTGTACACGGATGTGCACACGGATGTGCACATGACACAGCACTCACATGCCACGCCAGACATACACGCACACACACAATGCACACCCACACACTACACGCAGGCGTGCACGACTCCCAGATGCACGCGCTGCACCAGACATACACGCACGTATGCGACTCCACACGCATGCACAGCGTGTCTGCACAGCACACATAAATGTGTGCACGCACCCCCCAGGCAGCACCAGATCCTGCTGCTTGGCCTGCGAGTCTGGGGAGCTTGTGGGCTCGCAGGAGGGAGGCTGGAGAAAGAAGCCGGAGAGCATCCAGGTCTGGTGGTGCCCACCCGTCATCCCAGGACTCCGGGAGGCTGAAGTGGGAGGATCACAAGTTCGAGCCTAGGTAATTCAGTGCCTTAGTGAGGCCCTGTCTCAAATGCAAATACAGTAAGAGCCGGAGTCAGGGTGGGCTACAGGTGTGGGAGGGGAGCAGTGCGACTCTTGCATCCAAGTCCCCTTGGGCAGGGGCAGTGAGGCAGAGCAGGTGGCCTTTGCTTCTCCAGGGTGGAAGGGCTGGTGTGAGGAGGTGGGGTGCAGTTGTAGGGATTCAGGGTGGGAAAGGACTGTGAGGCTCCTGGGCAGCTGGGGTTTCCGCCTTTCCCTGCCCAGGCCTGGGCTGTGTGCCGGTGCTGTGGAGCCTTGGTGGAGTCCCGGGCGGGGTTCCCAGCTTGGCCCTGTGTCACATGGGGCACCCCGAAAATGCTCTGTGTGAAAGCGCAGCACTGCGGTCATTAGCTCAGCCTTGGAAAGGTGGTTTGTACTCGACCAGGCGTGCCGGGGTGCCCACCGTCCCCAGGTCCAGGGTCCTCTGAGAAGGACTGTGAGGGTCTCTTGGGAGGTGACTTGGGGCACCAGGCGGGGCAGGGCTTGTCTGCGGGGAGGGAAGCAACCGCGTTTCCTGGAGATCCTGGGATGGTGCTGGGGTGGCAGGTGGCAGGGCCCACGGTCACCACAGCCCCTCACCCTGGAGAGAAGCAGCTGCTGAAGGTTGTGGGGCGACTCCGGATGCCCCCTAGGGACAGGGACAGGGAGATGCCGAGAGTCAGATTGCTTAATGAAAGTGTAGTTTTGATTCACTGTTCTTGACATACAGCTCTTGTCTGCCAGAGAGTTTGTAGTGCAGGCTACTTTCTGAAGTCACTGTCTGTCCCCCGTCCCCGTGGCCCTCATGCTGTGGCCTGGGTCTGCTCAGGGCAAGGAAATCACCTCAACCCCTGCACCCCAGCTGGCAGATGCCCCTGCCTGGGTCTGGAGTGAGTTCTGCTCCCGTGGGTGCCCCCCACAGCCACTTCTCCTGTCTGCTGCCCTCGTCCTGTGGAGATGGCCAGGTGTTGGGGCAGGGTAGTTGGCGATGTGGGCTGCTCGGGACTGCAGCTCCCTGGGTCTGAGATGACGCAGTGGTGCCTTGGTAACCAGGAGGCTCCCTGCCCTGCTCAGCCGCTTCTGGGCAGGAGGAGCATCATTTGGTCTCCCCTTCCTGTGGGCTGGGAGGAGTTTTTCGTTCTGAGATGTGGGGACAGAAAGGCAGTATTGAGCTTGCTGGCCATCAGGAGCACTGGACACTGCCCTGTGGCTCTGAGCCCGTCTCCTCATCTGTCTACCCGAGGTGACAGTCACGCGGCAGACGTGGACTGCACCCAGGGTCTACCCATCTGTCTTAGTTTCTCTTCTCATTGCTGAGACAAAATTCCTGACATCCACCAGTTGAAGGGGAAAGGGTTTATTCAGCTCACAGTGTGTAGAGGTTTCAGTCCATTGTCAGCTGGCTCCAGGGCAGGGTGGCAGGGCAGAGGGCATCGCAGAGGAGAAACCGTCCATGGCAGGGCAGGCAGGAGGCAGCAGCAATGGCAGCACCTCCTTTCTGTCCCTTATATTCCATCCAAGTGCAGAGTGGAGCCTTTCTCCCTCTCTCCCTCCCTCCCTCTGTCCCTCCCTCCCTCTGTCCCTCCCTCCTTCTCCTCCTCCTTTCTTCTCTTTCTTCTTCTGGAAGAAAGGGTTATTCTGGCTCACAGTTTCAGGAGTTCAGTCTATAAATGCTGGGCTGGCTTCAAGGCAGAAATGGCATGATGGAAGACGATGAAAGAGGAAAGCTGCTCAACGCATGGCAGCCAGAAGGAGGGGAGAGATTCTTCCTCTTCCTCTTCACCTCCCCTTTCCTACTCTCCCTCCTCCCCTCCTCCCTCTCCC